TGATCAGCTTGGCGTTCAATGTAACTCTTTACCATGGCTCAGACTTTGTTACTTGCAGTTACAGTTTCTCATTTTAGATTGTGCAAATTTTGCATTTGTTTTTACATGTTCTTTGTTCATGCTCTTTATCATTTTTCTGAGTTGGAAAGTTAGATTGCATCATAGTTTACTTTATACATATTTGTATTCTTCAGTGGTGAAGTATATTGCAAAGCAGCTCAGCCATGTGAGAAGACTTTTGGCACTTTTTCGTTTTTCTGAGTTGGAAAGTTAGATTGCATTCAAAATGTACAGAAATACTTAATTTTGTTAAAGCTTTTTATAAAAAATGCTTCTGACCAGAGCTTTGTTTCCTTGTCATTAATGTTGAACACCACCAGAGGGGCTCTCACCTGAAAGGTCTCTGCTTCATGTGTCTTCAGCAGAAGATCTAGACTTTGATTGCTATATTTTCAGTTAATATTGACCTTACTGAGCTTTAGCCATATCCGCTGCCTATCATAAAAAATGTTAAGTACAGTGAACCTTTCTAAAATATACAGTAGTAAAGAGACAAACCCACCAGCATTATAGTAGCAACATTCTTGTTTGTGGGCTGTATATATAAAATTGACTTGAAAAAGTTGCTGATTTTAGAGTACTGGCACCTTTTTCATTCCAATTCAAGCACTGGGTATATCGCCATTTAGATTGGTTGATATGTCCATCTTTTGGACTCAGTGGACACACATAGGCTTTTCTTTCTCTAATGTAAAGCACGTGGTTTCATATTGCTAGATTATTGCCAGTTCACAGCTTCAAAAGAGTTTGAATGACTTAAACATAACAAAACATTACCCCCTGAGGTTATAGATAAAAAAACTCCTCCTCCTTAGAAGACACAATGCATGGTCCCTTTTTTATCTCTATCTGTAAATAATGAAATCAATGATGCCAGTTTTCCATTTAGCTTATGTTAGATATAATGCTGGATAATTAGGACAATTGAATTGAACATAGACATTGTTAATGTTACAGTAACACTTTTTCTACTGCAAAATGTCTGGAGGGAAAAAGTATCTGTTGCTAGAAGGTTCCTGTATTTTGAAATAAAAAGCAATACACCCCACCAAGGTCATGTTTAAATAATTCAGTGTAGATGCATGTGACTGGTTTTTGTCTTGCGTGACAAGCTGAGTATCATCAGTAAGGTGACACATATATGACCATGATGCAACAGGATTTCACTTCTGGGAGGACACAATCTTCTTATTCACATTCACTGTGTGTGTGTGTGTGAGTCTGTAATCCTGTAATCCCACACACACACACACACACACACACACACACACACACACACACACACACACACACACACACACACACACACACACACACACACACACACACACACACACACACACACACACACACACACACACACACACACACACACACACACACACACACACACACACACACACACACACACACACACACACACACACACACACACACACACACACACACACACACACACACACACACACATCCATCAGTCTCTGCCAAGAACGCAGACTCAGGTCTAATGAAAGAGCGTACTCTATCATGAGCTGTATATCTAACCTGCATCATGAAGAGATATAGATGCAAAAACACACACAGATGAGGAGGAGTTATTGTAAATACACATTCATGTTTATTTCCATTTAGTATTTACATAAGACTATAGCTCGTTAGACTTTTTTGACATAGATTTTCATTTAAAACATTCATATTTGATCCCCACAATCTCATTTTTCTTGACAAAAGAAAAAGTAATTGATATTCAATAGTAACAACTGTACAAAGACAGCCTGTAGGTACAATAATTCACTTAAAAATTCTTCTTGTTTTGCAAATCATGTGACAACAAAAACAACAGCTCGGCAGGAGTTTCCGTCACAACGTGTTTTTTCTTTTTCCTCCCACAGCGGAGCCGAGTGATCACAAATGACTAGAGCTCGTATGTACATGCACTAAAGTGCTAGTGTTCAAAAGGCATGCAGATATTTGACTGATATTCGAACAACTGCCTTCCAATATGCATAAGGTTAATCAGTTTGTTGTCACCCTTCTTCTACGCGGTAACAGAGTGAAACATTCATCCCCAAAAAAGAAAGAAACACATCAGAAATGACATCATGTGTCTCTGCTTCAGACCCGATGAAGCAGATATTTTTTTTGTTTGTTTGCTTGTGTTGTCTTTCCTCCTCTTGAAATAAAACAGAAAGTCAAGCTTTAAAGGCTGGAAATCAAGAAACAAAAGGTGTGTTCTCATTGAAAAGAACACCGATATTGACTGGATGCAGGACAACGTAAAAAGAAACGGAACATTTGTAAACAGATGCAACACATTTGCGTAAAATTCATACAAATGCATCGGTTGACCTAGTTTTCACCTGGAAAAGTCAGAATTGTGACTAAAATATATATGTTTTAAACACATGAACACACATGTGGGGCGATGTTTAACTCAAGTGTGCAGGCACCTTTTATGGAAAATGTAAATCTTTTTTTTTATGATATTACAGTACATTCCAGGTTCTTCTAAAAAAGAAGAAGTTCTGGTTCCTCGATGGTCAGCTGGTGCTACAGGGTGGATCCCGACCCCCCCTTCAGGCTCCGTCTCTGGGGAGTCTGTAGGGTTGAGGGGGGGTGGGGGGGTTTCTGAGGTACTGGGTCTTTGAGGCTGCGGTGGAGGAGAGGAGGTAGAGCACGGCCTCACGCTGGCTCCTCGCCCTCCAGGATGGGTTTGCGGTGTCCCGGCGGCGGGAAGGTGAACCTCCTCTTGGTGCCCTCGCTCCACTTCGGGGAGGGGGAGCGGACGGCCCACCGGGAGGGGGGGCGGCGGTTAGCTGGACGGGCCGGTCTCAGAAAGCAGGAGTCCAGAGGAGGAGCCACTGGAGAGCGAGGAAGGTCCTGCCAATGAGAAGCAGCTGTCAGTGAGGAGGGGGCAGCAACGAGGTGAAACAGGAAGTGGAGATTTGAAATGAAAGTGAATGAGCAGGGAGACCGAGGAAGTAGGCTATGTCAAGGAGGAAGTTTTATATTTATATATTATATTAAGGATTTTTACTTTTTCTCAGGAATGATTTTTTTATAAGCATCATTTGAAGTAAGAGCAGTACTGTAAGGGGAAATTCTGCAGCAATGGAGAGTTAGGACTCAGAGAGACACGAGGAGAGTTGGAGCTTTAATGTCAAACACGGATCTTTAATACAAGCATCGGCCGGAGAAATTCACATCACAAGTCACACAGTCAAAGGTTCTGACTGCACGGGTGGGTTGCCATGTCAAATCCCCCGCGCCTCTCTCTCGATAGCCCTTTTAACTAGTTCAGAGAGTAAACAACATATTTGGGGAGATATACTAAACAGCTGGGCACCCTGAATCACTTGCGTCTGACCCTTAATGGCCTCGAAGCCAGTGTTCCCACAGCCGTAAACCATTTCGTGACCGAGAGTTGAACTGGTTTATCAAGATAGCTGGAGCCTCCCATTCCTTAAGAGAGATACCAGAGCCAGGGTTGGTCGTAAACGTCAACACACAGAAAAGGTTAAATATCTTAGGAGTAAGACAGAATGATTCCCTCACAGGTACAGAGTACACCTGTAGGCTTTACTCGCTTCCTAGCTAATAAATAAAGTGGAGCAGACGGCAGACGTATGAAATATGTTTTAAAATGTTGAAACAAAATATGACTGAATAATGTGTCAAAAACAAGAATGATGTCTAAGCGGGAGTGTCATTGTATAAGGGTGTCTTGTTTTTCCTAAGCAATCAGTACCGCCCTTTTTAAAAGCATAACTTTAAATTAGTGGAGCAGTTTATAAAATAGTCTTAAAATATAATTAAAGAAATGCATTAGAGATCAAAAACAAACTTATCTGGGAAGAAAATACGTTTAGCTCGATACTGATTTAACAATGCAGTATCAATGTATGGACATGTCTTTTATAGGAGAGCAGGCTGTGAGAGGACACAGCTGGAGTCGCATAGAGGATCAACTGTCCTGGTGTGTGTGTTTAAAATCGATGTATGTCACAATGATGGATGTGTTTGACACAGAATAATGCAAACAAATGGGTTCAGAATGATGTATATTTCTGCTGTGGTAAACATGATGATGAAATAAGAGACTGCAATACATCTGTCTCCTGGATGAAAACAGAAAAAGTGAGAAAAAGGAGGACGAAGAGATGAGAGACAAGCAGGTGGGTGAGTTTTTCTCCCCCGTCAGAATGATGTCAGAGTGGGATTGGCTGAATGATAACGCCACTTGTCTGATTTATTAATAGATCTTCTCCAGGCGTTAGATTTTGGGGTGAAGGATAGGAGACGTTGACCCCGCAAAGCAACTCTCGTGCTGCGAAATGACACGATGATGAGCGATGGCAGGATGAACTGAAGAAGGTCAGACGGATGAAAAGATATTCCCAGAAGAAAATGACGTGCTACACAAACTGCGAGACTGATGTGCGGCGTCTCCATCAATAAATAATTTGTTCATGAACTGATGGATTGTGTACACACACCGGAAACACAGGCGAGTAGTCGTTTAATGAGCGGCTGGTGGGTTAATACAAGATTTACTATGCGATGCTAAAACATCAGATCAGACCACATATCATGCACCAGTGAACAGGAAGTCAGTGCACAAGAGAGGCTGCTGGACAACAGCTTCACATCAACTTCTCTGTCAACGATCAACTTTAAAGGGGAAATCCACCTTACCTTTTTACGGCCTTTTATAAAAACATCAGGATTAGCATTAGACACCATGGTCTTTGTTCAAGTTTTAAGAAATACAATTTGTCTTTGTAGAACAGGCAGTAAATGGAAATCTGTTCAGCCAAACGTCCTGATCATGTATTATAAATGTACTTTTGATATACCTCACTCTGCACTTCATGTAACTGATTTAAGTGATTTAACTGATTAGATCAAAGTGCTGTAGCTAAAGTAACGATGCAAGAGTCACCAGGATGGCCGAGTGGTTAAGGCGTTATTTAAGGCAAATGGGCATAAGCCCTCGTGGGTTCGAACCCCACTCCTGGTAACTTTAAGACAACTAGAAGCATAAGACTCATTACAGAAAATGACGGCTATTTGCAAGAACTTTAAAAAAAAAAAGACTAAATACCCTGTCAGAGTCGGGAGGGATCCATGCTGCAGCAGAGTGGAGTCATATTTACTTGGACGGTGTAAAACAGCTAATAGCTTTCTCCAGTTCTTCTGCCCTTCACTTAATTGATATTTGTGAAGCCAACTTGTTTTTGCTTTGCTAGAACACCTACCATGTCCCCTAATAGTAGAGTAGAGTTCATCGCAACAACATTAAAGGGAGTTGCAAATTAATTGTGGCGCCACCACTACAATCAGAAAGCTTCTTATTAGCTGACATTTGAGAGAGTCCAGCATGGAGAAAGCTATTACATTAGCTATGTTACACTATCCAAGTTAATATGACTCCACTCTGTAGCAGTGATAACTCCACACATGTATTTTACACTCTCCATGGTATTTCGTGATTTTACAAGTTCTCGCAATTAGCTTGTTCATTAATAGTCCACTTAAAGATACCAGGAGTGGGGTTCGAACCCACGAGGGCATATGCCCATTGGATCTTAAGTCCAACGCCTTAACCACTCGGCCATCCTGGTGACTCTTGCAGGAGTTCTTTAGCGTGTGAAAATCGTAAACGTTTTTTACTTGTTTTTGTACAGAAAGAGTATATCAACGCAAACTTCTGAACAGAAATGGAATTTAGGCTTCACTATATTCTAGTAACAGAGCTTTAGGAAACTAACTCATCATAAATGTGCACTGACAGACTGATATCATATTGTATAGCAGTGTAAGAGTCTCTGATTGTGGATTTTCCCTTTAAGCATGCAGAATGGACCACAACAAGCAGTTCATATCCACCAAGCATCACACGGTATAGAAAGGGATGAGTATTAGCAGCAGTCTTCTTCGGATAATCTTTCCAGGACTTGTTAGTGTGAGAGGAAATGACTAGCAGGAACTGTAAGAGGGAAGAGAAAAGAAAAACACTGTATGGACAAAAATGGGTGAAGAAAGTAAAAACATTGAGAGAAAACCTGACTGATAGAAACACAATGTTAGAGTAACAACCAGATAACTGTGGTACAGGGCCTCCAGAGAAGCGTCCTAAAGAGTCTCTTCTCGAATCACATGGACTGAGTTTGCTTTAAAGGACCATACCGACTTTTTTGCAGGATCTATCCAATTAAAGTCATTAAAATGTCTGCATTACAGCCACATTCAATACATCTCTTCTCTGTTTGGTATGACGATCAACTTGCTGAAACTGCTTCAAATGCAAACCCCATTACAGTGAATGCTTCAGTTTTAGTCAAAGTAATGTTGTCATTAAAGGAGCAGACATGTTCCCAGTTTTAACTCATAAGAACCCGGACCCATTTCTACTTTTGGGAAACATCATTTAGACTAAATAGACCACCTAGAACACATTTCTGACAAGAAACCGCCCCTCGTGTCAAATATCTGAAATGTGACATAATGGTCACATTGGGCTTTAATGGTGAAATAACTCTTATTTTTAACTTAATTAATGAGGATGATTTTTTGGTTTAAATTAGTTTGAACATTCTTTGAATTGAAGAATAAGAACATATTAACTCAATATAATTGAATCAGCTAAATTAACTGAGCAGATCATAATCATATTTCTAATTGTGCATATATGTCGCTTTGGGTTTACTGTGAAAGTTTAGGGTTAACGTCCCGATGTGACACAGCAATGTTTGTCTCATTTGTTTCATATCAATTTGATCAAGAAATGTTTCCAAAACAGGTTAATGTAATAAAGGACATGTTATGTAAGCATTTTAATTCTTAAATGGCTTGAATTTTACTTTTGACAACAAACAAAAAAGCTTTTGAAATGTAGCTCGTTATGTCACATGTGTTAGCCTGGCACATGGACATCTTGGACATGTTGTCATGGGAACACAAAATCACATGTCCTGGACCATGACCCACCAGACTGTTCAGTGTGTCTGAGGGACTTCATGTAAAGGCTAAAGCTGAATAAGGAACTTTCCATAACGTTTAAAGTTCATGTGACACTGGGTCCTTATGGGTTAAATGACCATTGCAAAGGATTTTTACGTTCTAAACTACTTTTTTGTCATATGTGTAAAGCATGTTTGTCAGTAAACATGTTGCAAACAATCACCAACAGCTTTAAGCCTACTTAAATGTACACTCTTTAAAATCTAGATCCTCAAATGTGCAGTTTTCTTGACTTTAGACATTGAGATATCCACAGGGAATGAATGGGTTTTAATCATTCATAATGCATTTGAATTGCCAATCTCCCTTTGTTGTTTAGTGTCTCCAATAGGAGCCTAGGATCATCAGAATAATCCCGTCATCACACACTAATGCTGTTTAAGTCTCCTAAAATAGATTTTCTAACCTTACTGGTGTTAAAACCGAATCATTTTAAATGTATGGTATGGCACTATGTAACAGCAGATGTGATTAATGTGGTTAATGGACTAAAACATGCAAAAAACACCACTATGGTCCTTTAAATAATACAAACAAATGATCTACAACAAAGAAAGTGAACATGCGAGCATTAAAACGAAGAAACAGATGACACTCCGATGGCTTCACACACTGTCACTCTGCCGTCCTGTGAAGCATGCATTAATGAAGAGGGTGAGGAGGAGGAGGGAGGAGGAGGGTGGGGTCTGCACGGCGGGAGGTGAGAGGTCCGTTTGGCTGGTGGACCCACTGCCAAAGGTTCATGGAGGAAGAGGAGGAGGAGGAGGAACTTACATCACGGAGACAAGCAGAGTTAGAGTCCCCAAGGAGTTGTTAGTATGACAGTGTGGTTCTGGATCAGAGCACAGGGGGGGAGGGGGGAGATAAAGCCCAGAGGGGAGGGGAGGAGAGAGGGGGGGGGGGGGGGGGGGGAGATAGAGCGGGATATGTTAATTTGTCAAATCGTGTGACATATCAAAGGTTTACCAGAAGATACAGTGTATAAAGAATCTCAGTTTGGAAAGTTAACACACACACCCATTCACTTTAGACCTGGAAAAAAACTGGGACCTTGATTTAGATAAACACAGGACAGTCTGATAGTGTTTGAAATAAATGACATTATCTACAAATGAACTAAGGTCAGGTGATATGACAATATAAAGGCGTCACTGTTGCAGATCAGACCTCTACAGGACTATGCTAGCTTCTTCCATTGTTGTCTGACATTTTATAGGACAACACATTTATGGTGCATTTCCACCATAGCGCGGAGCGCGGTTTAAGCCTGCCGTGCCCGGCCCGTTTTTGGTTACGTTTCCACTAGGCGTAGTTCCGGCTAGCGGGTACTTTTTCACAGTTTTCTGGCTCTCCAAAGTCGAGGTTCTTTCCGGGCCAACAACCGGGCTCAGTATGCTAAACTAGTGAGAGAATCGCTGGCAACTACAACAAAATGAACATATTTGACTGTAATTTAATTGTAATACACGTTTCAAAATGATGCCGAAGTAACAACATACTGATACCGGTTAGTAAAAATCATGAATTAATGCTTTGACAAGTCTGCAGACAGACGGCAGGCGAAAAACCCTTTTAAAATGCGTGTTTTCTAAATGGAGATCGGCTAAGCTAACGCAGTATATGCTCCGACCGTCCACACTCACAACAACGGCCTACAGACATAAATAAACCAGCGACTGTATTCTCCATGACACAGGCAGTCTGTGGTTTGTACTTGTTTAACTTTTGTCTAGTTTCTGAACGGATATGAGGAGCTGTGAGCTCTGAGGGCTAATAGCTAACGGCTGTGTTGTTTTTCTGGGGTTCTCATTGAAGATGACGCCATGGCTCCGCCTACACTGCGTTACCATAGTTACTACCCCAGTTCCTAAACTGTAATGGAAACGCAGCATAAAGTGAGCCTGGCCTAACAAGGCCTAACTATACCTTACTAAGCCGAGCGAGGCCCTGCAGTAGAAAAGCGCCATTAAAGTAGCAGTCTTAATAAACTGGATCAGCTAAAACCGACAGTGAACTAACTTTTCCAGTAAGTTTACTGTTTCACGACTATTCCAACATTGCGTTCGGGTTACTGGTTGACCTTTAAAATAGTTTGAATAGGCCTCTTTAAAGATATATTATACCCCGACTGTGTGTTTATCTATTTGAGGCACATAGAAACAGTAATAACTGATCTAAGTCCAGCCGTATATTACTATAAAATCACATATCCGACGTAATCTAGTTTGTTCTGCAGTGAGCAGCAGCTGGTCAATCCTGCATGTTAGTGGACATATTAACCACCATATGTGGGATTATGTTGCTCACTGTTAATGTTATGGGTTTATATGTACAGTAAGACTTTGGTATATTGTTTGAATGTAGAGATTTAATACAGTTTAAACCTACTTTTCAGAATTGTAACCTGTCTATAGAGGCGTGCCAGGACAAACAGTAAACTAAAAGCACTTTTCTTTTTCTGTTTCATCATTCAACCATGACCAGAAAGATGGTTTTCTGTCCGTCTTTTATTTTTCCCACAAGTCAGCTGAATGGGTGGTGAAAATGGCCCAACCGATGTGTCAGAGCACTGATTTTAAGGAGTGAAATTATCGCTTTTCTTTGGTTCATTTGGTATAGAGGAGCTCAAGAACCACTGAAAAACATTTAATTGGAGAGTTTCTGATAAGGATTAACTCTGTAGCTATGATCTTACTCAGATCATTACTGTTGGATCATTAATTTCACTTCTCCAATCATCAGACGCATAAATCAGGTTTCGGTCGGGCCTCACTGAAAGTTAAAGATACAGAAATAAAAAAGAAAGACACGACAGTGCAGAAGAAAGTACAGAAGAAGAAGAAGAAACCTTAAAGAGTGTACAGCCATGATGAAAAGTTCAGTATTTTTGAAGAGGGTCAAATATTTTGACATTACCATTGCATCAGTCAGTGCTTTCGATCTGAGAAAAAACAACATTTTAGTCAAATTACAACTTCAGCTTTCTCTCTGATGCTT